TTGTAATATACCATAGATCAGTGTGAATACGATGAATATAAACAATATTGAGCTTGATTATTTTATTTTAATTGTTATGCATATGTATAAATTATGGGTCATTCATTTGTAGTCACTTAACTTAGTTTCTTAGAGGTGAAGAAACCAAAATTTTGGTGATGGGGCAGTAGAAAAATATAGAAATTGTTTACATCTATTATATCATGATACGATTTGATTATGGTAAACACAAATAACATTGAGTTTAAATATTTAATTTTAGTGATTACCCATGTAGATATAACTTATTTGTCATTCATTTATAGTCTTTTAATTCTGTGGCTTAGTAACGAAGAAACATGAAATTTGGTGATGGAGAAGAAACATATTGAATATATTTACATCTAATTTACCATAATTCAATGTGAAAATGGTAAATATCAATACATTTTAGCTTGATTATTTGTTTTAATTATTACCTATTTTATAAAAAATAGATGTCATGGGTTATAGTCTTTTAACTTTTGTTTTAGTGGGGAAAAACCTAAAATTTTGTGATGGAGAAGAAGAATAAAATAAATTAATTTTTTACATCTATTATAGTGTATTATGTTTTTTTTAGTGTTTAAAAAACCTAAAACTTTGGGACGGTGAAGAAAAATATTGAATATTTTTAGTTGTAATATGCCATAGGTCAGTGTGAATACGATGAATATAAACAATATTGAGCTTGAATATTTTATTTTAATTGTTATGCATATGTATAAATTATGGGTAATTCATTTGTAGTCTCTTAACTTAGTTTCTTTGAGGTGAAGAAACCAAGATTTGGGTGATGGAGCAGAAAAAAACTATAGAAATTGTTTACATGTATTATATCATGATACGATTTGATTATGGTAAACAAAAATAACATTGAGTTTAAATATTTAATTTTAGTGATTACCCATGTAGATATAACTTATTTGTCATTCATTTATAGTCTTTTAACTCTGTGGCTTAGTAACGAAGAAACATGAAATTTGGTGATGGAGAAGAAACATATTGAATATATTTACATCTAATTTACCATAATTCAATGTGAAAATGGTAAATATCAATAAATTTTAGCTTGATTATTTGTTTTAATTATTACCTATTTTATAAAAAATAGATGTCATGGGTTATAGTCTTTTAACTTTTGTTTTAGTGGGCAAAAACCTAAAATTTTGTGATGGAGAAGAAGAATAAAATAAATTAATTTTTTTACATCTATTATAGTGTATTATGTTTTTTTTAGTGATTAAAAAACCTAAAACTTTGGGACGGTGAAGAAAAATACTGAATATTTTTAGTTGTAATATGCCATAGGTCAGTGTGAATACGATAAATATAAACAATATTGAGCTTGAATATTTTATTTTAATTGTTATGCATATGTATAAATTATGGGTCATTCATTTGTAGTCTCTTAACTTAGTTTCTTTGAGGTGAAGAAACCAAGATTTGGGTGATGGAGCAGAAAAAAACTATAGAAATTGTTTAAATGTATTATATCATGATACGATTTGATTATGGTAAACACAAATAACATTGAGCTTAAATATTTAATTTTAGTGATTACCCATGTAAATATAATTTATT